TTTTTTTTTTTTTAATTCAGACATATTATTGATCATATACATGATAATCCTTATGAAAGAAAAAACACAAATAAATTATTTTTGTTACTACTCATGAAATTACTTTTTGTTAATTTCGTGACCATCTATTATTTAATATATAATAATAGACATTCTTACTTGTCTAGTCTACAGTGTCTACTCTCATATGATATGATATGGTTGCAGAGGTAAATAATCTCACGAGAGCAAATAATAATTTTTCCTGACCTTTTTTTTTCTGCAGAAGAATTATTCTCACTTATGACTTATCTTACTTCTGTATTTTGAGCCATTTTATTTGAATTCCACCCTTTTTAAGTTTGATAAGTAACTAGGAAAAGTGGACATAAATCTTGATGCGTAATTTTTAATCACGATACATGAGACATTCCTGTATCCCATATTAATGTCAAAGACTCAAAGGTTCAATCCAAACAAAATTTGTCTTTGGAAATTATTAATTATTAGACCTCATATGTCATCGTTGACGACATCATTGTCCTTCTTTTCCACTATATAAGATCATTATTCACCCTTAATCATGTAAAACCATTTCCTCTAGAATTGAACTGTGAAGCCTCAACATACAAAGAACAATTGTCTGATCTTTAGGGGCACCTCATCAAAAAAGAAGATATTAATTTATGGAAGTGGTTGAGGACGTTGTGATTGTGGGAGCTGGGATTGCTGGCCTCACAACATCCTTGGGACTTCACAGGTACTAACCTCTCTCTCTCTCATAGATGCAGAGATTTTAATGTGTTTCTATGCGTGACATTTACATCTTGTGGTGCAGTCAGGCGTGAAATTACCACAACATTATACCTGCAATAACAGTTTCTATATGCAACATAACTCTAGAGTATTAAATTTTTTGGTGCAGGCTAGGTATTAGAAGCTTAGTGTTGGAATCAGCAGATAGTTCGAGGATAACAGGATTTGCTCTTCTAACATGGACCAATGCTTGGAAGGCGTTGGATGCTGTTGGTGTTGGCGACTCTCTTCGCAAACTACATGAACAACTTCTTGGGTAATGAGGTCTCAATTTACTTTTCTTTTTTTTTTTTTTTTTTTTTTTTTTTTGGG